CCCCCGGCCAGCTTTCCCCCAGTTTCTGTGCTGAGCATGACGGCACATGGTGTGGAATGTCCCTCTGGCCAGTTTGGGGCAGCTGTCCTGGCTGTGCCCCCTCCCAGCTTCTTGTGCCCCTCCAGCCTTCTCAGTCGGTAGAGCATGGGAAGCTGAAAAGTCCTTGACTAGTGTAAGCACTACTGAGCAATAACTAAAACATCCGTGTGTTATCAACATTATTGTCATCCTAAATCCAAAACACAGCACTGTACCAGCTACTGGGAAGGAAATTAACTCTATCCCAGCCGAAACCAGGACAGAGTGCTAATGCAACAGCTGTGCATTGCATGGAGGAAGATGTCAGCTAGTTGCCATGCATGTCCTGCCACTGGGTCCATCCCCGCTTGCTGGCGTGGGGTGGCCCCTCGTCCCCAGTGCCGTGCTCAGCATCCCTCCTCCCCACCTTCTCAACCTCATCCCCACCCTAGGAGCCTTGAGGTGTCAGCAAGGCCGCCCATGGGCCAAGCCACCGGTCCTAGTCACCAGGGCGTCCCATCTAGCACGGTTCAGGGATGCAGGTGCATGCTGGTGGGGAAGCTTTGTGGGGTGGGAGGATGGGTGCTGACTCTGTGCTGCAGACACAGAGCCTCCTCTGTCCTCCTCCCCTTCTTATTTGGAAAGTGGCACTTGAGAACGGGTGTTTTCTGCCTGTGAAAACGCTGGCTGGCGCTCAAACCAGAAACGACAGCTTTGCACGTATGTGGTGCCTCCTTCAGCAGTGTTGTGTTGGGGTTTTAGAAGTGGCTGGTTTTGGTGGGAAGTTTTCATTTCCTTTATTTACCTTCCTTTTGGGCAAGGAGAAGCTGCTGGCTGGAAGACTGCAGGTGCACAGCTATTTGCTGCTAATTAGGTTGCCTTTTTTTTTGTTCAGGTTAATTAATGAACAGTGGTGCTAGCCCACATGAAAAATTGCTAAGAGATGAAGTGCTCTAAAGCCTGGATACAGTTTATTCAACTTCCAGTTTGGAGTGTAACCAATAAAATGAGTTTGGGCAGGAGAATAAATTGGTTATGATACTATGGGTGTATTACTTGAGATAACTTTCCTGGCTTAAAACATTACTTTGGGTTCCTTTAGACTGGTGGTTGGAAGTATTTAATAGATTTCCCATCAATACAATTTTGAAATCTTAATTCTTTTTGAAGAGTTTGCTGATGCATCTGCCAGCTCTTGTGCCTGGCATGAAAGTATTTAAATAAATAACTTATTTGGTGATACTGAAAGGTCTGAGCAAAGGAAGGAAGTGAGCCTTCAAAATGATTAAGTGAATTAGAAATTAATATACACCAAGCTAATCTCTATAGTATAAACTCAACAGAAAAAAATTCTTCCTGGAGAGGAAATGCCAGTCACGGGAACGAAAGTGGAGGTTCCTGCTGCTATTGGACAGAGGACGTGTCGGGTGTTTGAAATCAATCTCTTCTTCCCTGGATCATTTCTCTTGTGCTCCTAAGAGGCTGCATTATATACAGCCATGTCAGGCCCTGAGCCCCATGACTTTGTTCATCAGGAACTCAAAGAATGTTTCAGTTTTTCCAGAAAATGTTTTCTGTGTTAGGCTTTGTTTGTACTGGAGCACTTTGAAGATGAAAATCTGAACTTCAGCATACTTGTAATACGTTTTAACAAGGTTTAAATTCACACTGGGCCAAAATATCCCCCCCTTCTAACAACTCCTGGCTCTAAACATTACTCCTTTGAGGATTAAAAAAAACAGAGGCATGTTTTATTAAAAAATATTTATTGAATATGAGTCACAGAAAAGCAGAGGTCAGAATCCTCAATTGCTGGTGGCATGCATAAAATAATACGCTTCCTTGCCTGTGCTGTGCTTAGCGGTGGAGAGGCTGCACCCGCGCCCCGGGGTGCCGGCATCCCCTGCGGAACTGGAGCAAATGGGCGGCAGCCCGGCGCAGGGACCGCCGGCATGTGATGGTTTGTCCCGGCAGCACCTATCCTTGCTCTCCTTAGCTCCTTCCCAAGGCCACATAGCGTGGACTTTTTTTCCAAAATGGCCCAAATGCATTTGGTTTAATGGACCTCTCCCCTATTTTTTATTTTAATTTAACTCATCTACACCGAATCTCCAAGGCAAAGGCTTTAGCAGTAGGGTGGTCTGTGCTTAGACCCACGTGCCAAGGCTTTGGTGGCGCTGTCTTGGTGGGGGATGTTCTTTAAACTGACCTGGCAGATGCATCTGATGTGCCAGACATCATCAGGTCAGCTCGTTATCGGCATCAGAGGCGTGTGTGGCACTGCCAAGATGCGGTGACAGCACTTCGGCAGCAGCCGCGCTCTGGCACTGGGCTGTCTGGTGCTCTGGGAGGGTGAACCAGAGTTGGGATTTGCTTTTAGAAAGTGATGAAACCCAAGGGCCCCTGTCCGTCCGCTGTCATCTGAAAAATCTCTGTCGTTCTTGTGCCAAGTGTTTAGCCCTTGGATTTTGAACAAATTCTGGCTTAATTGTGGGGTTTTTTTTGTACTGCCACAAACATCTGAAGCCCTGTCTGCAATCATGACCAATTAGGTAATTAGAGACAGGCCCTGCCCCAGAGCTGACAAACCTGCAAGACAGAAGAAAGAACCTGCAGGTAGATTTTTGGGTTTGTTTTTAAAAATGTATTAAAATCTGTTAATTTTTGAGGGTGGTTTATGATCATTCCAGAAAATGAATTGACAAGAAAGATCCATTTGTGCAAAATGTCTGTTTAAAAAAAAAAAAATCTTTCTTTTTGCTTTCTGATAGTCTTGTGCTTTGAAATTCCTTCTTTTAAGATGCCTGAATGGTAACATAAGAAACTGGACTTCCCCCCCCTCCCCTGCAATTTGCTGACTTTTGTCATGATATTCAGATTTGCATCAAAAGAGATTTCACTCATGCAAGTCTTTGGATGTGGAGAGAGGTTGGGGGTGTTGCTTTATGAAGAGTAATCAAGTATTTTGAGATATATAAATTGTTTGAAAATTTTTAGGGAGTCCTTTAACTTTCCATTTCATTTGCGTGATGGTCTCATTGCACTGAATTTTCCAGTTAAGCAATGGCAGTGGTTGTAGAACCGTGCGAACACGCGACCCAATGCCGGCATTTACCATGGCTTTTCTTCCTCTTTTCTAGAGTTCTTTAAAGAACTTCTCGAAAACGCCGAGAAGTCACTGAACGACATGTTCGTGCGGACGTACGGCCGTTTGTACATGCAGAACTCAGAGCTGTTCAAGGACCTCTTCGTGGAGCTGAAGCGATACTACGTAGGTGGCAACGTCAACCTGGAGGAGATGCTCAATGAGTTCTGGGCGCGCTTGCTGGAGCGCATGTTCCGGCTGGTCAACCCCCAGTACCACTTCACGGACGAGTACCTCGAGTGCGTCAGCAAGTACACCGAGCAGCTGAAGCCCTTTGGGGATGTGCCGCGGAAGCTCAAGCTACAAGTGACGCGAGCGTTCGTGGCCGCCCGCACCTTTGCACAGGGCCTTGCCGTCGCGAGGGACGTCGTGAGCAAAGTGTCTGCGGTGAGCTTCGTCTCGTGATTATTCCCATGTCCCATGGACCTGTGATAGGTAGTGTCTTTCCCTGTTGTCCTGTCTAGGTACCTAAAGGTGTTGCTGGTAGTTGAGCGCAGGTGGAACCAAATTCCATCTATGTTGGCTGTGCCGTTGCATGGTAGAGTCACTTTCTGGGGATACCACCATCCAGTGCTGCAGCCCAGTAGCAGGGATGTTCCCCAGGTTGATGCTGTCCTCCTGTCTAGGGAACAGCAACAAGCAGGAAATTAAATACCTTCTGTAGTGGAAATAACCATGTTTGCTTGTGTAATGGCTGTATCTTCTTCTTAATATTGCCTTCAAATTACAGCAAGTCCTGGATGCTATGGGCATCTATTATGGAGCAGCTGATGATTTGCTCCTTGCTCCCAGGCACAGGGAGAGGCTGTTAATATGAGCAAACAGTACTTTTATGATAACAGTAAGCCAGAGCCATATGCACAGGGCAGGAGCCAGTTGTACTTGGTGCCACACATGCAGCATGAGTTAGACCTCACACTTCTATGGTAAAGTCACTTTTTTGGGGGGTCAAACAGATGTGATGTGTTGGTCACTTAAATGTTTACCTCCCTCTTCTTATAAACCACTTCGGAGTGGTTTAAGTGGGGTGACTTTTTTTTTTTGACAGGAGGTTGACTGTAACTTAGTCTGAGTTGTATGGTATAGGGAACAGGTGTAGTCAACAATCCCCTTAAAGTGATTGTGTGAGGTAACAAATATTAGTGATTTCCTTTATAACAAACTCAGCTCGTTTCCTGTGGGCTATAGAAGATTTAGTATAATCATTTAATCGGGCAGAGAGAGGTTTACTTTCTCTCTGCCTGGTTACAGAGTAATAAAAAGCCAGGCTGAAAGGGCAGGCAGTAGTTTGAATCACCCTAAGTGCCAGGAAAGAGAGAAAAAAAAAAAAGGTAGTAAAACAGAAAAGAATAGCTGTTCAGGTACTCTTAGCAGCAGAATGCAATTTTGGAGGCAGCACAAGCAGCATCGTTAAGTGAGATAATAATTCAAATTACTTTGACTTACAGGGATAATATTAAATACTGTCTCTCTGGAAAGAAAAAAAAATCTGCTTCCATGTTAATTTTTCTTGAAGAGAAATCAGAAAAACAGCCTGCGATAAGCCTGCGTGTGTGCGATAGGGCGGAGAATATTAGGAAGGAAAGAGTTGCCATACTAATATACGCAGGCTCCAGGAGCAAGTTGTAAGCCAGCGGTGGCAGGTTCAGGTCCTTGGACACCCTGAGTCCCCATTTAATAGTGATGACTCTTGCGTGAGACATGTCTGCGTGCTGCTGGTTGAGGATGGGTGTTGTGGAGCTCCGTGGGTGACATGTGGGGTCCGTCTTACGAGACCACAAAACCCTCCAGCTTCAGGGACCCTGTCCTGTGGTGGGAAGGAGATGTGGGGAGGGAGGGTCAGTGCTGGATGAGGCCAAGCGTTGTGTCTCCATGTCAGGTTACGGGCTAAGCCAGTCGACCTCTTGGTTGGGGTTTTAAATTTGGTGACTCTTGTTTCTGCCTGTGTAGCGTTGTGGTAGATATCGCGGTCAGAAAGAAAGGGAAAAAGGGTTTTCACTGCTGGAGAGTGCAGATGAAGTATTCGGGTGGGAGGTCCGTGCGCTAAGCCCCAGTACAGTTTTCGGGAATGTGCAATCACTTGATAGGCTGTAAACGTGCATGGATGAGGGATCGTGTTTATGCTCCATCTGCTCAGAATTCATCAAAACGTCTCCAGGCTTGACATGGGACTACGAGAGCTACGGTCCCCCCATCTGTTACGAATCAGAGTCGTGAACCCGAGGTGGCGTCGTGATTTCTCTTTCCCTTTTGAAGATCCTCGAGTGTAGAGTTGCCTTCAACTCTAGAATTAATTGCTCAAGTGGGGAAGGTTACCCACAGACCCACTCAGCTGCAAAAATAGCTCACGCGCCGTGGACGATCACAGTTACTGCATTTTCCACTTCAGTTTCATAAGTTGCACTGGAAATCCTGCAACAGATTGACTTTTCGAAGTGGTAGCAAAAGTCCCTGCTGCTGAATACCTAAGCTTTAGCTGCAGCAGTGGAAGGGATAATAATCTTTTCTATAGTGTTTTAATCTAATTCAGTGGAAATCTAACATCACGTTTCTGCAAGACACAATGCGAAATTCTATATGAGGGTTTAAAAGCTGATCTCTTTATACCTGCTGCTTTGCGGTTGTGTTTTGGGGCTTCCCACATTACATATAGATTAGCCCGGCTTTGCTGAGCTCTATATAATGACTCCATTGACTTTGCTTCCTTATTATCTTTACTCAGGAGTTGTAGTGGGATGACTGCTTATACTAGGGATTAACTTGAGGGATAAATCTTCTATTCTTCTTTATGAAAAAATGTCCGAAGTAATGCAAATTAGTTTTACTTTTCATGTGTTTTGTAACGAGCAAGTTAAAAATGTTTAATTGAAAATCCTCAGGAGGAGAAATACAAACTACTGCAAGACCCAGCTGCTTTTTACTTTCCTGGGGTGCTATCAGGAGAGCAAAGAGCACTTTACAGTAGAACAACCTTGATGGCTTTTTAATGATCCGATATATTTTTACATCTTCACTAGGGAGATGCATTTAGAAAGGTATTGTTCTTGCATGAGTTTGGGAGTAAAGGGGGAAAAGAAGAGAGAATATTGAAAAGCTGCAAGTATGCTTCATTTCTGAACCAGAATGCTAGGAAATAGCTTTAATTCGGCATTGGATGGATCAGAAGCCATGTGCTGCTGCCCAAACACACAACGGAGAGAAAGCACAAACTTTTTTCAAACTGTCTAAAAACCACAATTTTGATGCTCAAGTCTTCACCCCTCAAATTCCTTCCTTTGGACCCAAAAAGTACAAAATTCTCCAGATCCATCCTGAGAAAAACCAGGATGCCATTTCTGCCTGCTAGAGATGGGTCCTGCATCTGAGGTGGGCTGCGAGGGGCTGGGGGCCTCCAGCGCTTCCCTCTGTCGCCTGCTGATGCCTGGTGCTTTCTCTCTGACCTTCCTGCCCTCGCCTTCGGGAGACGGAAATCTGCCCATCCCCTAATTGCTCGCTTGCTACTTAGCCCTCAACAAGCACTAAAATCAGCCGGGTTAAATTGCTGCCAGCAGTGACATTTCCTGCTCCAGCCAGGGGTGGAAAAAAGGAGCAAATACAAGCCAGAGCCCAGAGTGACCGAAAAAGGGTGAGAACCTACAACTGGGCTGTTCTCAAGCTGCAGAGATGTTCCCTTAATTAGTTACATTGATTAAACCCACAGCCCAGTCAAGGGTCATGACACCTTTGAGGGCAAAGTGCCCAGGGGCTTGTTGGGTGCAGGTCAACTACAGGTATGGGATGGAGGGTCCCCGTTGTGTGGGGAGAAGGTGAAGTCAAAGACTGAACCCCCTCACAGTGTTTTGTAGGGTCAGGAGGAGCCTGCTTGACCCAAGGGCTGGGAGAGGAGGTCTGGCTGGAGGTCAGCAGTGGAGGGGCATGATGGACGAAGCGTGCAGCCACGTGACATCGAACCCCTGTATTTGCGTCACTGTCTCTCCGCAGAGCTGCAGATGGGGACGTGCAGATGGGACCTCCTGCAGTTGCAGTGGTGGTGAGAGTTTTCTGTAGCCCCCCAGGAGATCTATGCTGATGAACTGTTGTTTTGGGGTTCTTTTACCACTTTTCCCTCTTCCCTTGTGTCTGATCGTTTGAGGAACTGCTGGGAGCTCTGGAGGCTCCCAAATCACCTCCCCAACAAGCATTTGCGTGGTGAAAGCCACACAAGGTGCAATTGCCACCAAAGCTGGAAAGGGGCTTCCAGCCCATCCTTGGGAATCCTGGGAAAGGCAGCAGCTTCAAAGTTGTATGCAAGAAATGGTGTTTAATTTGGAAGCACGGATATGAGCCGTATGAAATAATGCACAGTTTCATATGAGGAATACGTCTACCTCATCATCTGCTGTCCTCAAGAGACATTAACAGCCAAGAAGAAGCTGCTGGAGATGTTTGCGGTGGGTGGAGGAGGCTCAGATTCCTTGGTATCAGCATTTCTTCCCTAATGAAGTGTGATGATAGCAGCTAAGGAGGGAATTTTCTTCAAACCGTTTATGGAAGAGAATTGCGGAGGGGGCAGGTGATTGCCTTCCCACAGCCACTCCAAAGCTGGAGCGAGAGTCCGGTGCGTTTTTAACCCCCTTTGCTCTGAGCTGCCTCAGCTCTAATGAGGCATCCATGGAGCACAAGGTGAAGCACTGAACCTGCATAAACCAACCTACTGCTGGCCTGCGTGAGCTCCCTTACCTCCAGCTGCATCTCCTGAACCGTGGCTCCTGCCCTTTTCAGCATGGATGCAGAATGTGGACCAGACATTAGCTTAGGAGAAGCAGTGATGAAAATAATAAAACACTGAATGAGTAACAATTAAGGCCTGTATCATCAAAAATATTAGGGCACTGAGCTCCTATTTCAGTAAGTGTTGTGCCCCTCGTAATTACCATCTGAGGATCTAAAAGTTTAGTCAGAGAGCAAAGGTCCAATCTCCCTTTGTGCGGTCTTTGCCCTTGGTTTGACTTAAGGGGAATGTGTCCTTAATCCTTCTTCAGGAAGAAGTTCATGTTCCTATATCCAGCGAAGCTGGGCACCCTTTGGGTAAGAGCAAACCCTCCCAGGGAAGTGACAGAAATGTGTTCCTTGCATGCATTGAGAGGAGATGGGGGACAGATCCTGCTGCTTAATGGGCAACCGAGAACCAGCCGGAAGAGCCAAGGAGCCCTTTTAGTGTTGCAGAGGGGCCTCTGAAGGAGCAGTGCTGTCCAGGCAGCAAGTTGCAAGCCGTGGGGCCAGACCGAGGGGCCGCCGTGCACAAGGACGTTGCCTTCCACATGCCAAGGGCAAACATCAATGCAGAAAACAATACCAAGCACTTCTCCACATCAAAGATGACCCTGAGAAGACCTGCCAAGAATGTG